AATCAAGTATTCTTATTCAGTGGCGTACGCAGGATTTTTCATAAGCGGTGTCACGATTTTAAACAGTAAAATAAAAAAATTCACTATACCATCATATATATTAAAAGAATTATATTATTTTATAGAACACAACTCGAGTATCTTACTAAATATATTTTTTCATTTTTTAAAATATATTCAACATAACCTCATTAGATATTATACAAAATGCCTTTTTTATATATAGAATACCATGTAATCACACAAAAACTCACCATTCATTGGAAAGAAAATAGCCAAACAACTTATAATACAAGTCAAATAATTTGTTATTGCATAAAATATGTAATTCTTGATCTATTGGTTTAGCTATGTTAATGCTTAAGAGCTGAAAGTTGAAACCTCCACATTTTTTTTATTTTTAGATGAGGCACGAAGAATTTAAAACAAAAAGAAGAACTTATAGCAAAGATGAAGCTACGAGACTCGAACTAGTGACATATTTAAGAAAATTGAGGCTCTGGACCAGCTGTGTCACTTTATAAATTATAGTATCATTTCTCCTGTTGGATTTTTATTATATATACTTATTTAGTAAAATTTTCCGACCAAGCGGTGTCACGTGACACCGCTTGGGCTGGTCACTTTATAAATTATAGTATCATTTCTCCTGTTGGATTTTTATTATATATACTTATTTAGTAAAATTTTCCGACCAAGCGGTGTCACGTGACACCGCTTGGGCTAACGTAGATCCGCCCCTGTTCCTATTTATCTATTTTCTTAACCATTTTAAAAATAGGCAGAATAGCCTAATAAATACTTCTACTTGTCCCGTTTTGTCATCCCGGTCCCGATACTCTACGGAGTTTCATCCAAACACTTATACTTGTTAAAACACAGTACTTTAAATCCCTCTGACCGTTGACCAAACATACCTGGCAACTTAATGACGGAGTTGGACTTCACGCGTACAACAACGAGCGTAAATATTGAAACTTAGACTAAAAATAATTAAAATAAGTAGAAAAAATAAAAGGAAAAGTAAAAGACAAAAAATAATAATAAAAAACAAAATGGGTCTCCTCTTTCTTCTTTTCCCCACCCCCTCCCCCCCATGTCTTATTCTCTTTCTGCAATTACCATCTCCCGTTCTTTCCCCATCCCTCCTCCATTTCTTTTCTCTTTCTCCCCTTATGCCTTTCCCGTTTTTTCCCTATCTGTTTTCACAAACTTTCAATCAAAATTTCAGAAAAAATATTAAGAACCCTTGTCTAAGAGCAACCACCATTAGTGTTTCTCAGATGATTTAGATCTATGGTCATTCCAGTGTTGAATCTATTTTGGGTAACAATCGTTTCAGGACTAATGAATTTTCAGGTGGTGGACTCGATATATAATGGTGAATTTTTATTTGATGGAGAGAAGCTGAAGATCTAAACTTTTTTGGCAGTTTACCGTGGAGATATGGTGGTTTTGGAGGGTGAAGAGTGGTTGATGAAGGTCTTTGTGGTTGGGTAGGTGTACAATGTAAAAATATATGGACATATGAGGATATTGAGGAATTTAAGTGGTGGTGCATTGGCATATATCAATGGAGGAAAGGAGTTCAGGGTGGTTCATATGATAAATTTGAAGTAGCGAATCGCGGCATTGGACAAAAATCTCTGAAACCGAGATGTGGACGATGAAAAGTTGGAGAAGGGTGGTTTTTAATTGTCCATGGCGATGGTGTCACTGGTAAAGGCAGAAACTCCTATTGTTTCTGCTGAAAAAATGAAGATAGGTGGACAAGGTGGGGCAGAAGAGTGCAAAAAGAAAACGAAAATTAAAATTGTTGAAATTAAAGTGAAAAAAATAATGATTTATCATTAAAAATCTGATGTGGATGATGATGTGTCATCCGCTTCGTGCGTTTGAAGTACACGCGAGGCCGGAAAGGTTTAAAATAGTATGTTTTAACAACTATAAGTGTATGGATGAAACTCCATAGAGTATCGGGACCGGGATGATAAAATGGGACAAGTAAAAATGTTTGTTAGGCTATTCTGCCTTAAAAATATAACTAATGTTATGAGCCGTTACCAAATTCGAAAGGCACACCCCTCCGACGCACCTCCGTTCCTTTCTCATCTTTCTGCTGTAATTTATTTCCTTTCTAAATTGTACCAGTTGAATTATAATTCACCAAGCACACACAAATTGTTGTATCCCTCTATCTTCTTTCTACCTTTTTTTCGTCTTCTTATTATCCTCAACTGATAAATCTCATTTTGAGTTCTAAGATGCCAAGACTGAAGAGGGAAGTTATTCTTTGTCCTTTTTTTTTTCTGCTCAAGATGAAGACATGCTGCTAAATTTACAATAACAACAAATTCAGTAAAATCTCACAAAGTGGGGTCTGGGGAGGGTAGAGTGTACGCATATCTTACTCCTACCTTATGAAGGTAGAGAGGCTGATTCCGATAGACCCCCGACTCAATGCTGTTAAATTTCTTTACTTAATTTTACTCAGTCTCAAATGCCAAATGCAAGAAAAACAAAAGCAAACGGCGAGGAACTTCACAACTGATAATCACTTTTCTTTTTATCCTTTACTATTTTCTTGATTTGATGAATTTTGTGTTTCTTATCGTTAGGGGTGTTCATGGTTCGGTTTGGATCGATTTTTCCCTAAAAAGAAACCAAACCAAGTAAGTCGGTTTTTCAAATATTAGAATCAAACCAAACCAATTAAGTCGGTTTTTCTTGATTCGGTTCATGTCGGGTTTTGTTGGTTTTTTCGGTTATTTGTCGGTTTTTTTCTTAAATATAAGATATACACTACCAAACACATATTCCGGCGACCATGTTTTCAACGTAACACTATCAAATCAATTGCCCTTTGAGAAATCTATTATTTACTAAAATATATTAATGATAATTGAATCAAATTGTGATGAATAATTTAAGGACTCAATTATAAAAATATTTTTTTTTAACATGAAATGGATTCTTACACTTAACAAAAGAAAGCTACCAATCNCAAAAGAAAGCTACCAATCAAACTACAATATAAAGGTAAAAAAATATACTAAAAGTGCAAACGATTAACATTCACCATAAAATTTTTGAAACTTTGTATAAAAATATACATATATATATATATAGGTGTAATAATAAATTTGAAATAGCTACTCCTATAGTCGGTCTGGTTCGGGTTTTTTCGGTTTTTTTTATTAAACCAAAAACCAAACCAAATTTGATCGGTTTTTAAAATTCAAAACCAAAACCAAAACCAAACCAAACCAAAAAGTATCGGTTTTTTTGGTCGGTTTGGTTTGGTTTTTGGTTTGGTTCGGTTCTTCGGGTTTTTATGAACACCCCTACTTATCGTTATGGTTAAATCACTTCTGCCTTTCAATTTACTTACCTTTATTGATCTTAGTTGGAAAACCTTTTAGACAATTTTTAGCGAATTTTATGTTATTGATCTTTGTGGTAGGGGCAGTGGCTACGACAAGAAGATGTTTTTACTTATGGGAGTGAGTGATACTGTTCCGGGCTTCACAACCTTTTCTATCTGTGACTTTCGTTGATCTTAGCTGAATGTTTTTAGATAATTTTGGTGAATTTTTATTTTTTTTATTTTTGTGGTAGGAGCAGTGGCTATGAGAAGAAGATGCTTTTATTCGTGGAAGTGAGTGATACTATCCCGAAGCTTGACCACATTTTCTCTATGCCACACCGTGGGGTCTCGGGAGGGTAATGTGTACGCAGACCTTACCCCTGCCTTGTGAGGATAGGAAGGTTGTTTTCAATAGACCCTCGGAAAGAAAAAACGGCTCAACTGTTACTAAACCCCAAATCAACTTTAGTTCTATTCAACTTATAAATCATTAAGTGTGTTTGATTTCTAAATCTAAAAATTAATAATTCAAGTCTGAAGCATTAAGTGCGTTTGTTTTTCTTTTACCGTCACTTAATAGGTCGGAATAGATCTGAATGAATAAAACCTATAACAAATATATAATATCATTAAGATGCTACCGCTACCCTTTCACGGCAAACAATGCCACCACCGCCGCCACAAACCATAATAATTGCATAACCACTATTCTCAGTCAGTCACAACCACCACCACCTCTAATCACCCTATTCAACCATCACCCCACTAGCCATATTTACAATCATCACCACCATCAGCCACAACCATATATCGGCAACCACCATTATCACCTGTCGCCATTATTAGCTAATCATCACTATGATCTATCAATTAGCTATCACCACCACTGTTAACCAATATTGTAAGTTGCCATCACAACTAGCTACTATCCACACCCACCACCATTGCTAGTCGGTAACCACTGTTGGTAGCCATCACCACCACCGACCACCATGTAAACTTATTTTTTCTAATATTTTTTTGGTATAGTATTAGATTAAAAAGTATTTAATTTGAATCTCATATTTATTAAGTTTTAAATAAACAAAACATATTTCTATGTTCATGTGATGAGAAAACAAACGATCTTATCTATTTAGTATTCATATCTTAACACACATATTAATGGTTCAAATGTGCATTCAAATTCAAACAAGGGCTAAATGTTATACCATACACTTCCTAGTCAGAAGTAGAGCCGGAATTTGAAGTTTATGTGTTCGAAATTCTAACTATTCCAAGTCAGTAGGTTCTAAATTAATAATTATGCATATCAGATAAATTTCCTAAGACAAATACAGGGTTTAAGCCAAAGCTACTTCGTTCGTCCAAACCCGGACCCATGCTTGTATCCCCGTCCCTATCTTCCTTCTACCTCTCCCATTTTCACCCCATACTTAAAAAAAAATTAGCCCATAAGCTTTAGTGAACTTATGCATACTTACCTTGAAGAAAGCGTCAAGAACTGGTCGAATCACTTCTTGAACCTCATTAACAAATACAGGCAAAGAGAATGACCTTCACAAAACATATTTCAAATATATAGAAAAACAAGCCAAAAGTGAAAATGAAAAGTCAAGCAAAAGAAGCTAGTAATCATACGGATCTCTGCTGTAAATCTCTTTAATTGACATTGCAGCTGAAGATTCTCCATCCATATTCGCAAGCATACTGTAACATTAAGATGGAAATTATAAGTTGATCTTAAATTGAATCTATCCATAACACAGCTTTTAAAATGGTAATGTTTAGCCATACTCTACGAGTTTGGGAACAACGGGATTCTCACTCGTTTCAAGTCTCTCACGAATATCTTCTATAATATGTCATCCAGAACATAAAGTAATTAATATTACCTCACATTAAACGCATTCCAGATCAAGCCATGTATATCCTCATTGGATTAAACATAACAGAGGGAAAAAGTTGAAAATGAAAATCTATTACTAGCACAAAAGATAAAATTACGTTGAGAATCAGAAAGTACCTCCTGACACTTTGTCACAAAAGGTTTATTCGTTGCAGTGAAGCGTTTAGAAAGAGGGTGACCCTGCATCTGAGAATAATAAAAATTCAATGCAAATTGGTAATATGAGAAAATACAACCTATGTTGCTCGGACTCTTCAAAAATGCCATCCGACACGGATGCGGCAACATTTCTGAAGAGTCTGAGCAACATAGAATACAACTTCACACGCATCTCAGCAGGGTCTAATAAGCAAGAGATTACTTTTTCCTTGAAGATTTCCCATTCCTTATCCCATTTCGATTGCTTTGATGGTAAGACAACAACATCAGTTCTTGTGCTCGTCTCAAAGTTTGATAAAGTTTCTTGTATGGGCGCAGAATACTCGAGGTGCTTTCTCGTACCAGGAGGAGTACCTTTCAACTCGTCCAATATGATGTCGTAGCCCTTCTTTGCAAAGCCAACAGGCTTTGCTTCTTTTATTTTCTGAAAGAACGGTGAGACTTTCGATAAAGCAGCAGATTTAACCTTGCTAAAAACTGTTTCCGCGCTATCACTGGAACCAGATTGTTGTTCCTGTTGATTTTTTGCTGATGCAGACTCACTACTCCCATTGGCATTTGAACTAGAAGTGTCAGAGTGACCGCTTGATCCTCGAGCTTCTTGCTTCCCCGCTCCAAAGCTATCTTTGACCTAAATAGGAATCAGAGTCAATTGTCACCTCCTTAAAGAGTTCACCAACCTCCTCTTTCGTAACAGATACTTTTTCCTCCACATTGGCATAAACAACAACAACAACAACCCAGTAAAATTCCACCAGTGGGGTCGGGGAGGGTAGAGTGTACGCAGACCTTACCCCTACCCCACAGGGGGTAGAGAGGCTGTTTCCGAGAGACCCTCGGCTCAAAAGACAAATTGCAATAACTCAAAAGGCGGTGACTAGAACTTAACAAGTTTGAAGGACCTTTTAGGATTTGAAGATTGAAAGATCAATATCTTTATTTTAATTCTATGAGAAGAACTCAGAAACCACACAAGACGAAGATACAATTAAACGGAATACTAACAGGATAAAACTCTACAGCAAAGCAGTGTTATATGAGGCGCTGAAAGTGTTTACAACAACAACAAACCCAGTATGTTCCCACCAGGTGGGGTCTGGGGAGGGTAGTCTGTACGCAGACCTTACCCCTACCTAACAGGTAGAGAGTCTGTTTCCAATAGACCCTCGGCTCAGGAAAAGGTGCTGAAAGTGTTTACACTCCATAAAGCTGAATGTCTACTTAATCTAACTTGTTGCTGCAATTTAAAGTTTGTAAATATGTCATGCCTGGACTTCCTTAGTTCCCTTCACTTTGTACTAATTGCATCCTCTGGATAAGTGGATCCCCCTTATTTTTTCATTATTTTTATCAACAAAAAAAAAGGGCAAAGACTAGAAAAACAATTAACAAAAGTTAGCTCAGCATACCATCTTGATAACTTGAAGAAACATTGCTCAGCATGATAATCTCATTCAGCAATCAAATATTAGACCAGCACTAGAGAAACTGACAGAGGTTGCGCTAATACCTTTTTTGTCGTAGCTTCAGCCTCCGTCCAAATACCATCCACATGTTTGTAAAGCATCCCCATTGTCTGCTTCATTCTGCATTAGGCGGTTCACCATTTCAGGGTCCCCATTGGAAGTTCTACCAGCCTTGACATACAACAGTATGTCTCGGCCCCTTAAGGAAAAGGTTAAAACCACCTTAAAATTATATTAACACGATATCTATAAGGCACCTTTTTCTAAAATCTTCTTTCACCCCTTTCAACTCCTCAGCTTTCTCCTTCAGTTGCTTGACAGACTGCTGGAATTCTTGATTTCTGCAGCTATAAGCATTGATGAATAAACCTAATCGCACTAACAAAGCCCCAGAGTGTATAGATGGGGAGGGCGACACAAACACCTTAATAATTACTAGTAAGATTGAGAAGTAGTTGAATTCTCTCCCTTGTCACTTCAAAAGATACCAACATGCAGTGGCGAAGCTATAAATTTTTTCAAGGGTATTCAAATTTGAAAGAAGTGAAAGAGTTCTCCGACAAAGGGTATTCAATGTGTTATACACCTCTAAAACGTAATATTTTACCTAAATACACAGAGTAATATTTTGATGAAGGGTGGTCAATTGACCACCCTTATGACCATGTGGCTTCGCCACTGTCAACATGTCCCCATACCACCCACCGCAGAAGAAAAAAATGAAATGCTCCGAATCAAGTATGCTGATCATACTGCATTGCCAAAGATCTTATCACTCTATCTCTTTGATCCTTTCAAAGTAATTCTCATCTTCGCTTACTGCTACTATGTTGAAAGTTTTGTAAATTCATTTTCTATGTGGATAACATGTTAACGACTCATTATTATGAGGATTTTTAATTAAAAAACTAACTAAAACAGGTTCTTTCTAAACACTATTACTTATTCCAAAGCGACATGCACATGTCTTTTTTCTGTAATTTGATGCTTAAAAGCACTTTTTCTTGCAACTGTTTTTATTAATACTTACAAAAGCACTTCTCAAACAACTGTTACAGCTCCAACATACTTTCACCAGAGCACTTTTTCATGATAAGCAAATTTTGGGGACTTGGCCAAACAGGTTAATTAATAAAGTGATAGTACCTGATTTATGCAACAAAATAAAAAATAGGAACTCCTCAATTGACAGACTTTTAGCCAGTGTTATCAAAGGCGAAAAGCGCAAAAAAAGCTCTGAGGTCCGTTGGAGCTTTAAGAGCAAAGTGTAAATAAAGAAATATAAATGAATAAAAAAAAAGGCGCTACGGGGAAAAAAAGTAAAAATATGCTTAGTAGTCCAAGACTAATCATTATAAGCATGAATAACAAGTATATGGATAAAGAAATTGGAAAAAAATTCTTGATGAAGTAAAATATCAATTGTTTAAGGTCGCCTTTTTAGGATTACACAGCAAGGCACCTCGCTTCAGAAGTGCGCTTTAAGCGCGCCTTTGACAACACTGCTTTGAGCCAGACACAGCAAACCCGACATTGATAACCCAAAAAAGGGACAAAAAAGAAGTAATTATCAGAATCAATTTGCACGAAAAGCAACCACTAAATAGCAAAAATACCTGTAGACTTCGCCTCTAACCTGTTTGGAGAACTCATTGAATACACTATAAGGACGAATACCCACGTATCTCTCTGCTCCAATCAACCTCACCACCTTTGCATGCAAACACAAAAATACAAAAAGAATAAGCAAAAAGTCATTAAAGCACAAATTCAACAACCCTACAAGAACGAACCTATTGTGGTGGAACTAATATTCGCCGGAAAGAAGAATTTTTATAGACAAACCAATCTTGTACGAGCTTTCTGCTAGCCATTGGAACCTTTTTGTTTCTTCCTAATAATAATAATAATTCTGACAGAGGAAGAATGTCAAAGATTGCTTTTAGGGTTAATGTATTTTATTATTGATCGTGTGTCGCCAAGCTTCTAAATTACGGAGTAGTATATATTTTAAAAAAAATACACTTTTTAGTGAGTTTTACGTTTTTTTGTCTTAGGGTACGCGCTTTACGCGTGTATCCTATATATTAATAAAATATACTATTTCAAATACAAAAAAAATATTAAATAATGTGTTTGACCTTTAAAATAAAAATTAGAAAAAATGTATAAGTTCTTGAAAATGGTGACTGCTAAATATTTTATTTAGCCGACTCAATGAAGAAAGAATTCTTTTTATAAAAGTTCCTAGATGTCTTATTGTAGTTTTTGATGACTTCAATAGAAATTTCTTATAAAAGGATATTGTTATTTCTATGATATAATACAAACATAAACAAAAAAAAATTAAATACTATTATCAACAAAGATTTGTCAATTAAAATAAATTAAAAAAAAATCTCTGCCATTTTGTGAATGAAGAGATTGGTGTTATGTTCATAGAAAAAACTTGATAAGGGGAAACGTAAAATCTAAATGACTTATATTTTTTAAAGAAAATAATTTAATATAGAACATAAGGGAAGTTGTCATTTGTAAAATAATAGTAATAGTAATAGTAATAGTAATAATAATAATAATAATAATAATAATAATAATAATAATAATAATAATAAATGACAATTCCTTCATAATATAGTTTGTATTCTATTGTTTCCTCCTTATTGCTTCAAGTTTTTATTTTTATGAATTTGACTCTTAGTACAATATAACCAAATTTGCCATATGCTAATGCTATTCATATAAAAATAAATTTATGTATCCTATAAGATTTTTCAATTTGAAAAAAATTTACTTATATGATGAATACAAAAAATAATTAAATTAATTCTTGTTAAATTGTTAATTCAAAGTCTTAATTATTTGTTTGGATGAGCAAAGGAAATAATTTACTTTTTGTTGATTCAAATTCTTTATATTAACTCAACTAATTTTAAATAATTAATTAATTATATTATCAAAGAGATTTTTTTTTTGATATTTCACTTTTTGAATTTTTGTGTTTGTAAAATCATTAATGTACTTGACTCTTGTCAACCACCTAAATATTTTATTAATAATTTGTTAAATATTGATCGGTGTTTTTGTTATGCAATTATTATTATTATTATTATTATTATTATTGCTATTTTTTTTAATTACTAAAAGAGATTAGAAAGAAAGGATGATAATTCATGCGCCTTGTCTAGGATAGTCTAATTAGGATAAAAAAAAAAAGTTAACAATATAACTTCCTTAGGTGAATTAAGTTCCTGCATATTACAGACTTTGCATTATAGCGAATAAGGAACGTTTTAGTTGATTTGAAATTTTTAAATATTAAAAAAATAATTAATTTACAATTACAATTTTATCCAATGTGAAACCTATTCTAAAGGGAAGGGAATTTTTGCGCTTTTAAGATAAAATTTATGTTCTATTTTTCTTTTAACCATGTAAATCGAAGTGCATTTCATAATTCATATTAGACAAAATTGTAATTAAACTCAATATATTTCTCTTTATTTAAATTAAAAATAGCTAAATACTTTAAAGACAAAATTTTGTTCCTTATTAAAAAGATAATTTTCTTTTTTAACTACATATAGGATACTTTTTTCTAAACAATTATTACAAAGGAATCATATTAACAATAAAAAAAATTTAGAGACCCTTTGCTACCCCTTGGTTGTGAAATGAACATAATTCAAAGGCAAAAGTAGACAAAATTTCCTTCATACGTATTTTGAAGGAATTATAGTTTAATTCAAATTAGTTTTTTTTCCTCTAAATTTTGGAGTACGTCTTTTATGGTAAAAGGATATAGAAAAGCCAAAATGGTTTTTTTAGAGTAAATTTTAATAGTTCAAATATTATGAGTTTCTATATGATTCAAATAAGGAAATATTTTATAAGCAAAATTTATTTAATTTCAAAATCCTATATATTAGGAGAATAATTAAATTACAACTTTGTCTTATGTGAAAGTTATTTTTAAAGGGTAAAAAAGGCGAACGACATTTCGCTAAGGGCGTTCGTGCTTTTAATATAGTACTAGTCTCTATGTTCGTGCGATACACGAAATTTCTTATCTCAAATATTAAAAAACGTGTATCAAAAGTAATTAACTTTCACTTGCATATATATATATATATATAT